GAAAAAGAAGAAGAAAAAGAAAAAGAAGAAGAAACATCTTGCAAATGATAGGGGGCGACCGCCCTCCCCCCTTCTGGCGCCGCCCCTGCTTATACATACTTTAGATTATAGATACTCACGAAACAAGAGAACACAATCGCCGCGATTCCGAGCGGAAAGAAGCAGCAGAGCAGGGTGAATATGGAAAGTCCCATCCACGAGGTCGGCTTTGCCTGGTTCTGAACAATAACAACGTTTGTGCCCGCCGGTTGTTGCTGAAATGTGACATATAACGACCAGATTAAGTTCTCTGAATATTTGATGATGATATCAGGTAAAGATTGCACTTGTTCTAAACAAATAGGACGTACGCCCAGGCTCATTCCCGAGCCAAAATACCAATACTATCGTCACATATCTAAAGACACTAAATATGAAACATGTTCTATTATATCAAGAGTACATAATAGAGATTATGTACTCTTGATTATATTAAAGCCAGGATTTCGAAATCATTGGTCAAAAAATCCGGAAACTATTGAGTATTTTGCGTAATCGTTTGGAGTCATTCTACCTTTGACGACATACGTAAACTAGCTCATATCATTTTTTACAAGAATGTTCATACGCGAGGAGTTAACTAACCAACTTACACCATAAAGACAACGTAACGAAAGTTGGCCATCCGAGAAGATTGACAAATTCCAAACCAACTTTCTAACTAGGTGGTTTAACAACTCTAAGACTTAAGGAATATGCACGAGAAATAAGGAATATGCGATCGAGAAATCGCAATTAAAGATAAATTACCTGAAATGGAGCGCCGTATTGTTGCGGGGGAGGACCCCCATATTGGCCTGGGGGAGGTCCCACGTAGCCAGGTGGAGGCCCTCCTTGTTGAACTGGTGGTCCATTCATTCTCTTCTCGTCTAACATGTTCGGTTGTTTACGGTTTCCTAAGAATTAGGACGAATCTTCTTCTATCGGTGGATGACCGAACCAGGGTTATCTCGCACGACTATTTTTCACGATATATAGCACTCGATAGAAAGTGATCTATATGCGTGTGCGTGTGTTACCTGAGCGCGGCCAAACAGAAACAGCGTTACCGGGTCGCTCAAAGCAACTCGGTCAATACTTTCGCAGATAATGATTAGCATGGCCGTTGCCAACAACAGTAACTGGGTGGCGGCGGCAACCGTAGCTTGGTGGCAGCGGCAACCACGGTAGCTGGGTGGCGGCGGCAACGGTAGGGACATACGGTAGAAGGTACACAGTAGGGTTTCGTTTCATTTATTCACACAGCACATCGATTTTCTTAACAAGCCCTGTATCCTATGCATCGTATATCCTCGTTCTCGACCCGTAATGAAATAACCCACGATTGCCCTGTAGGTTTTGTGTATAAATGAACTCTAGAATTCTCACGTGGAACAAAACCAGGTTTTGCATAACGAATTGGCTTCTATAAACACAAACGTGATACACACCCCCCGTTTTGCCTGAAGATCTGATGCCGAGATGTACCTACGTAGGTACGCCCACTCACACGTAACCAATACCAGCCCACACATACGCACACGCACACACACACACACACACACACACACACACACACACACATACG